CACCCTTTCCCCGCTATTATTAATCACGCTAGGCATATGTAAATGTATGTATATGCGTATGTGTTATATCCCTCCCCGCAAGTATATACATATATATACATATACACGCGCATATATACATATACATATACGCATGTAAACTCGGCACACATAACACATTTATAAATATGGTATAGCATATTCCAAATACATTTCTCATTAATCTTTCCGATTGTCACGTTTCTCCTATCTCTCTTTCTCTACCTCCCCAACCCGTTGATAAAAATACTCTCTGTCAAAAGATTTGGTATGAACGTTTAGACATAGAAATCGCATTTACCTAGCGCTCTGTCGTCATATATCTACTTAAGCCTCCCTCTTGTACCAAAAGGAGAAAAAAAGAAAAGAACTTCTTATCGATTTTTAATTATATAAATAGTGTAAATTTTTTATATAGTGCGAAAGAAATACGATATCGCTGACGAGACGCTGCTCTCCCGTAAATGCGTTTATTGTATGTAAAGAAGAAAAAAAAAAAAGAAAGAAAAAATATACGGACCGGTGAAATCACGCGATCTTTATTCGCTTTATTGCATCTTTCGTCAGCTATATACTTCCTTCGAGGCCGAATTTACAAATCACGTTGATTCCAGACTGGGCTCGGTTTCGAAATTTCATTAGTCTCGAACAAATTTAATTTTCTTTTTACGAGCACGTGAATTACAGAATTATTGTGTATCTATGTTTTTACTACACGACAGTCTTGAACACCGTGACTTGTAAGCCGCGTAAACTCGACGTAAACTATTAACTGTGAAAGAGAAACAAACGGAGAAGCGATTGACTTGATTCATCCAATTCCTGTAATAAATTTTTGGGACATCTTCGCTACTATTTTGATATAATGGTGTGCGAAAATTTCGGCGACAAAATATTTTAAAGCAACGCGTATTTCGAAACAAGTGTATGTCCGAAGGCGAAAATATGTATAAGTGAGAAAGGACTAGAATTGTACAAGTGAAAAATATCGCTGTATATAACAAATTCAATTTTTCGATATGAATTCGATAAAAAGTAGAGATATATAAAACGGACAAATTTTACGAATATTGTAAAATTTATTTATCAAGTTTTTGTTTAAAAGGATGAAAAGCATGATTTCGGCATTTATTATTTAGAGATTATTGAATAATGAAGATGTGAAACTTGAAATCAAAATCGCCATGTTTCTGAATATTATAATTCTGAAAAAAATTTTTGTGTTTTAAGGGCCAACTTTGACATTTGAAAAGTTATACGATTTTTTAATAAAACATTGAATTTGTCGTATACAGTGATCGAAGGTGCAACATCGCCGTGATATAATTGTATTATACATATATCATCTCCGTTCCCTTTGAACATTTATACTTCAGGCTCAATTGTCCCTTTCTCTTTCCGCTGCTTCCTCTTCCTTCTTCTCCTATTCTCTCTTAATCCTCCTTTTGCCGCTTTCCTTTCTATTCTTTGAAACTCGACTCGCAAAACGCGATCGAAAGGCTCCTCTTTCTCTCTCTCTCTCTCACCGGGACATTAAAACATTAAGGCAACAGATTAAGCAGCCCTATAAATATTGATTATACATATATATAAATATATGTATACATATATATATATCTGTATATGTATATCTAAGCCTTATCGGTATGATATATATATGTAATAAGTACTATTTAAATATTGTAACAATTGTATATGATTTTAATACTACACGCTAATTGTATCATATATATATGAAGGATCTGCGACCTCCCACTTTGCAGACATATACAGACAAGCATACAAGTACACACGCACGCGAGCAACAGTACTCACATATACAGCACTTCGTACTCATGGTACGTACGTAAACACCGAACGCTCGTACAAACACAACACACATATACACACGATACCACATACGCATACTTGCAAAAAGCGATTGTGCAATCTTAAGACAGGTCGAGAAATTGACATGCTGACATATTGCGATTGCCCACGTTCATCTCACACCCACCGGATTCAACTGCCACGGCGCTGGTATATGAACAGTTGTTTGCTCGAACAAAGAGCCTCCGGCTCTTTCTCGAATATCGTCGATCTTGAAGGGGAAAAAAGATCACTGATATTTCAAAAATTCGATGGTAGACAAAATTCAAATTTTTTTTTCCGGTGATTAATTATATTTTCGTGTATTATTGTTACACGATATTATTATTATAATTGTGAAATTCAATTTTTATAAACTGTAGCCATATATTTTTGTATAATATTATAATTATTAAAATATCTAATTATATTT